TCCAAAGTTCTCAGTTTACAACTCTGAAGAACATATTTGGTACTCAATCTTGGGATTACACGCCATGTTTCTAAGTGGTCCTGCAGTCTAACAGCAGTGACACCTAATGGAAGTTTCTCGAAAGATGCCATGTGTACACCTGCGGAGCACCGTGGCGCAGACTTATCTCACCCCGTACAAACTGGCTCGCGCACGCATTCGACAGCCGCAGCACATTCGGAATACTCGGTACCCTCTCCACGAGCACGAGTAGCGTGCCCCTCTCCCGAAACCCGTCCGCGCCCTCCGCTTCGTCCACGCCCGGCGCGAAGCGCGTCAGGTTGGACAGCAGCGCCGCGTGCAGCGCGACGACGTCCGCGTCCAGGACCACCTGCGCTGCGAGCCGCACCGCGTCCGCGTGCGTCAGGGCCGCCGGCTCCTCGTCCTCCGACAGGTTCACAAGCGCAGACAGTGCTAGCGCAGTGCGATTCGCTGCTCAGCAGCAGCAGCAGCCGCAGGAGAACGTCGCTCGCGGCTGTCGAGCCAATCATCCGCCGCAGCACCGCTGCCGCCGGCGCGTATGTTCTCTCCGGGATCGCGCTGCTCGCGGTCGCGTGGGGAGCGCGTGCTGTCCGTGAGCAGGGAGGACAGCGCCGGCAGTCTGTCTTTGTCCACGGTGGAGGTGAGAGGGAAGGAGTGCAGACAGAGTGGCGAGGGAGAAGGTCGCGGGATGGGTTTCGAGTGAGCGTGCGACTACGACTGAGGGTGCGATACGAGGGTGAGTATGAGTGTGAGTACAAGGATGCGATGGTGAGTACGAGGGGAATGTACTTCATTTGGTTCTCACCGGTGGGGCAGTTCTTTCCGAAGCATCAAACAGCCAAATAACGAAACAACCAAATTCTAGGGAGCCAATCAAATTACAGAAGAAGTGTGCCAAGTGTTGTTATTTGATGATTTGATTTGATTGCGTACCGGTGGGGATGCTCTGAGAGCATCCCCACCGGTAGTGGCTATAAGTTATAAGTTATAACCGGTAGTGGTTATAACTTATAACCACTACCGGTGGGGATGCTATGATTGTCGGTCAGTGGTTATCACAATCATGGACCGCGCCGAGGCCACGTGGCCCGACGCACCCGCTAAGAGCCTCTACTCGGCAAACATCTTCAGCCCCGCCCTGCGGAGCGAGCCCAACTCCACGTCCACGAGCTCCGGCGATGAGAAGGGCCTCTCCGCCGCAGAGCGGCAGCAAGCGGTTGGTGACATTGGGCACCACACGGTGACCAACTACTACCGGTGCACGTTTGACGGGGCGGAGATTGAACTGGACAACTTTCGCGGGTGCTCCATGCAGCCGGAGCAGGTGGTCTTATTTGTGACGGATGACGACTTTTTCAAAAGAGCGTCGCTCGTCGCGGAAGACCCCCTCAACCAGGTAAGGGTGGAGCTTCTCGCGCCGCGGCCTTCGACGTCGTCATCATCATCATCCTCGTCACTGATGCTGGACGAGCGCAAGACAGGCGTCACGGCCGACTTATCGCTGAAGAACATCTCCGTCGTGGGCGGGTGCGCCGTGGTACAGGCGGTGGTAACGGCGGTGAGCCTAGGCGAGGCGGAATTCGTGCAGGCGATTTACCGAGACACGTACCTTGCCAAGCGCGCGGTGGCACTCGACGTACCGCGCTCCAAGCTGCCGTTCTACCCACTGGACAAGCAAACCAAAACGTTGCTGCGACAGATGCCGTCGGCGATGTGGGTGGTGTCAACCAGCGCGGCCCACGGGGAGGATCTGGCGATGACGGCGACGTCCGTCACGGTGCCTGCGGCGGCGCGCGGGATGATATGCTTCAATGTGGGGCACTCGAGCGCGTTCTACGCGGGGCTCGGCGGGGTCGGGGCGGGCGTGAGGCTGTTCGCGCTTTCGACAAGGCAGAAGGACATTGCCGAGCGGTACGTGACGAGGACACGGGTGGAGGAAGAGTGCATGGTGGCGGCAAGTTGCACGATTGAGCATACCGAGGATGTGCAGGACCATCACATTGTTTTGACGAAGATTGACGGCGTCAAGGTGCCGGAGAAGGACGAGGAGGGGTTGATGCCTTTGGTTTGGCAACACGGAAAGTTGATCACGGAAAGTTGATCACGTAGCGGTAGGCGCCGGGTGCTGAGAGTCGGCCCTTGTGCGCTACAGTATTAAATTATATAAACGCTTTTTTAATTGAAACATTTTAATTGAAACAAGGTCTTGAGCAAAGAAAAATGCAGCAACTCACAACTCAGAAATGGCCATTAGACTCGCCCCTCCCGGTGCACCGCCGTTCCCATCGCCGCCCTCTCGTTTCCCCCCCTTTCTATCCCGATCGCCTCCGCCGACGACACCCTCATCCTCACTGAAGGGAACGTCATCCAAGCCCTCGACGGTGAACAAAACACACACTCGTTCTCTCGTTCTCCCGCCATTTTTTGTACACATACAAGTATGTGAAATGTATTGCAGAAGGGACTTCACTATACATGTATATATCACATTCAGGTTGCAACGTGTTTCTGACTGTCGTACCTCCGGTGAGTGAGAATGTCCGGCGAGCAAGAATGGCCGCGGCAGGAAACAATGTCGTCTCTGGCCATCCCACCGAGCACAAGGAAGAGTGCCTGGCCTCGGTCTACTTGATGGTGTAACCACAAACAAGTGCTGATCGGATAGCCACGGCGGTATCCCGTACCCCTGTCTTCTTCCTCCCTGTTTCCAACCATCTCTTAAGAGATCTCTTAAGAGATGGTTGGAACAGGGACACTCAACACACTTACACATTAATACACATTAATGTGTGAGTGTCCGTGCACGAGCAGTTGCCCGTGTCCAAACAACCCAAAACCTCCATTTCACACAACCTCTTCATGCTCCATCATGCTCCCCCCACCACTACCAACAAGCCACAGCCTCCCGACCACCGCCCGTCTTCGACGCTACACATGCCGTCAACCTCAACGCTAACACTGTCAACGAAGTTTCTAATACCTGACAAAGCAAAACCACCGCAAATCCGCCGTGCATATCTTGAACTTCATACTACAACGACTGATATCGCATGTGCCTGTTCCGCCTCCAGTTTTGTTTGCTGGTCTCGCTACGCGCAGTCTCTACTATTCCCCGCACACTGACGCAACTGCGCGCGACACATAGAAAAGATGTACCGGCTACTTTTTTTGCGGAGGGGCATCGAGGCGTCGGGTAACTAGAAACAACTTCAAATACATACAAATTTCTCCTGGCACATCATCCCTTACTACATATACCGTGGGTACAACCCCTCCTGTCCTGGCCGGGACATCCCCTTTTGCCTAGTGGTTATTCACACACTCACAATCACACTACTGCACGAGCTCGTAAAAGTACAGTTTTGCTCCTACCTGGATCGCAATGTGCCGACCTGAAGTAGAACGGAACCAACGATATCCCGCAACGGTTGCTAGGCGGATTTCGTCATCTCCTGTCTTGTAGAACACTCCATCTCCCTTTTGCCGAATCCTCAGTTTCCTCTCCAGTTTCCTCTCTAGATCCGCCGCCGTGAGTTTGCCCTCATTCGTATCGATGAACTGGCGCAGATCGCTCTCTTTGAGATACCCAACATCATCGTATTGCTTTTCGCAGACAGCGCTTTGACTCGTCACGGACAGGATTTGTAACGTTTCTCCACACAACGTCGCCATTCGCGACCCGTCCCGGAACCAAGCAATCTGCCTTAGATGTTCTTCACTGTTTGTGCTATACTTTAACATCACCCCTGTCTCAATATCCCATATCGCAAGCTCTCTTCCAATTCCAAAGGCTACGCGTCGCCCGTCGTCAGACCATTCCAGCGCATGGGGTGGTACCATAAACTCATAATATTGGCACTGGTACCGATATGTTACACCTGTCTCCCAATTCCAGATCATAACTCCGACTCTGCTTGGTTTCCCATTTTCATCAATTTCAACATATCCAGTTGACGCGATCCACTTGTCATCTGGAGACCACTTCACCGCATGAGGGTACAGAGCCCGCGCACCAGAGAACGGAGCCCGCTCAACAGAGAACGAAGCCCGCACACCTTCTTCACCTTCTCTCCAGGGCCGCTTCACAAAGTTGAACCAATCTATGTGAACTTCGTCTGCAAATTCGTCTGAATACCACTCAAGCAGACCGCGGTCCGCAGCCCATTTCAGGCCGACCGAATCTGGGACACGTTCGGGGGCATCGCCCATCGTCTCTCCTGTTTTGGCGCCCCGCAGCACGACCCCGCCATCTGTATGCCCACATGCCACCCTGATCGCCTCTCCCGTTCTGGCGCTTAACAGCACGACCCTGCCGTCGTTACTCCAACTGCCAAGCGCGATCTTCGTGTCGTTTCCAGCCCACGCCATGCACCCGATCCACATGTAGGTGTCCGTGATTCTCTCCCATAACTTGTTCCCAGTCTTCCCGTCCCACAACCCCATCCTCCTTCTAAACGACACGAACACCCTCGTCCCATCATTGGACCAACATGCTTTCGCGCCACCATCCTTGGCCCAGCTGGCCCAGTCTTCCCCGCCTTCCCACAACTTGTCGCCCGTCTTGCTGTCCCACATCGCAAACGTTCCATCTCTTGCTGCCGTAAACACCCGCTTGCTATCTCTAGACATCTCCAGACAATGCACAGGGCTTGCGTGTGTCTCAGCATCCCCCCACATCTTCTTCCCCGTCTTCACATCGTACATCACTACGTCTCCGTCTCCAACCACAGTAGCACATATGTCATCGCTTGACCACGCAACAGCCGTGAATTCTTGCCCTTCCTTGTTGACCTTGTCGACTTCCTCTTCCTCCTCCTGCACCCTCTCCACATTATCCCACCTCCAAATGACAATATTGAAATTCTCATCCGCAGAAAACATCCGCTTTCCATCTTCTAGCCAGCCCAAGACGCCAACACGCGACCCGCGTGTCGCGATGTGCCGCCGTACTTCTGCCCCGGTCTCTGTGTCCCTCACAGAAACCTCCCCGCCGTCACCGGAAGCAGCCAACCATCTCCCATCCCCGGACAGAGATATTGCCGTTGCCAAAAAATCATCAAATTTCGATATTCTCTTCCCCGAGCGTCCGTCCCATACCGACACCACACCCTGATCGTCGCCACAGTACTCGCCACAGCACAACAGCGTCCCGTCCTCCGACCATGAAAGACAGCGAACGCGTTTCAAAGGCGCGCTTTCCGCGATACTCCTACCAGTCTCCCCGTCAAAGATCCACAATCTTGCTTCAGATTCCCCCATCTGGAACACGCACGCGACCCGCTTTCCATTCTTCGACCACGAAATCAACCACTTGGTCCAATCGGTTAGTCGAATACTCGGCAAGCCAATCACCCGAACCATCTCCCCTGTCTCTGCACACAGTATCAAAATTGACCCGTTTGAGCCGCATTCTCCCGTGCACGCCAACCGTTTCCCGCCCGGTGAAAGCGATACTTTCTTAACAACATGGCCCCCCATATTCGCTGCCTCCTTGATCTTCACACCTCTCTCAACATCCCATAACACAGCCACACCATCTTCTCCCCCAAACGCTACTCGCTTTCCATCCCCCGTCAAGTCAAAAGGGCGACAGCCCAGGTGCCCTACATCCACTTCCTGTCCGACTCGCTTTGCTGTAGCTCCTGTATGCATATCCCACACCTGCACGCTTGTTCTATCTGCCTGTACTACCGCTACGTACTTTCCGTTCTCCGACCAAAACCTTCTCACGAACCATGCCACTTCAAACAACACGTTTTCTTCCATTTCCCCGTCCCGGAATGTCCGACGAAACAGATGCTTCTCATCATCCCCCCAAGCGATCACTTCGTTCTTAGCTGCGCATCCCGACATTCCCACCACGCTCCACTGGTCCGGAAATATGTGTTGCACCGCGCCTGATACGTTCAAGCCAGGTGTAAGCGACTTCAACCACGGCTTCTCCGCAACTTCCTCTATCCTGCGTAAGAACTCTCCAATTACTTCCGACTCGTTCCTGAATCTCAACAGACCATCGTACAGCTGAAACAATACCTCTCTCGAACTTCGACGAACAAAGGACGCACTCAGCCTCGCCTGTCTAGCAATCTTCTGCAACGACCACAGCCTGCCTCCCGCTTCGCACCGTTTTC